TTATTATTGTAGGAAAGAACACTTTTATCAACAGATGACCATTTTTCGAGAATTTCTCGAGATATTGAATTTGTCATCTTTTTTCTCCATATGAAAAGTGACAATTTAGAAAAAAAGGGCTCTACCAGGCATAGCCATCTGATACGCTCTTTTAAATTAAAAAAAATCAAATCTATAGAATGTGAACCTATCGAGAAATTTGAGTTGTCAAGCGAGCTATTTTCGATCCTTATTTGTTGATGATCTCTCAAAAACGTCATGACATACAATTGAAAATTTTAGCATAGACTCTCCACTACAGCCCTAACATATTCTGAAAGTTTCATGCAATTGGAATGCAATTGTATACACTAAGTTTAGGATACTCCCTTACAAAGATAATTTAAGCAGGATCACTGAAAGAGTGTCTTCCTATCAGTATATCGCAGATACTTGGTCGAATGCATAACTGAAAATTGTCTTAATTCATGGGTATACCTAAAGGTATTCGTAGAGTACCTGATTGAATGTTCACGAAATATGTGATATCTTGCATTGAAAATATTCCCACAGGTTAGAGAATGGAGCAGATAAAAGCTTCTCATTTCTAAATACTCAAGTCTCAGAAAGTATCTGTAACATATTGGTAAGAGAATACCCTAAACTCAATACTTTCACTATGGTTTGGGTCCATTTTCCACAAGCATGAATAACATAAATACTCAATCAGGCTTGATTACAACATATATACCCGGTCTAATCTTGTATTATATAAGGTGCCCGCAGTGCGAAATTCAAGTAAAAATTTTTTTTCACGTTTGTTTTACATCATTTGATAGAGTGTGAGCTGCTGATTACGAAAACCTACTTTTTAGCCTTAGTAAATGCTTCCTTCCAGTCGAAAAAGACGAAATGCTCGAAAGGCGTCGTTTTTCGAGTAAAACACATATTTTTCAAAATGTGCAAAATTTTCTACTTTGTTCATTTTTTCAGCTTCTGAAAATGTTTTTTTTCAGATTCAGCATCAACAACTGATTATAAAAAGGTTGTTAAATCGACTATAGACCCAGGACTCTATTAGTGGTGGCGCTTCTAATCGTATCAAGTCTACTATATATTCGTGAATTTTGTAACCCTATCTAGCTTTTCTACGTAACTGATAAAGCCTAATATTTTATCTCATTCGACTCGTTATACCACCAGCTACAAAAGTACGATCCGTTCTTTTCCTCTTTCCTTTTTCGTGTCGAGAAAAATCGTGTTTACTAAGATGATCTTTAACGGATCATTTGGCCACCCTTCATGCTTGGCTATACAGTATGAACGGGAACATGCAAGATAAAAGCAGGGTGTGAGTGTGGGTGTGAGCGTAGATTTGTGGAAGGAACACTCACACCTACACCCGCCCACGCCCTATTTTGTGCCGTATTTTGACTTACACATTTCGGCAAGATCACCGATGTCCGTTAACAGGAGTTTTTCATTGAAACTTAATTCTTGATCATCGACATCCATGGAATATTCATCATCTGATGATTCACTTGAATCCGAAATTTTTCTTTCGAGTTATATCTTCTTTGAAACTGGGCGGAGATAAACTCGTCCCTGGACAAGAAACTTTCGAAAGTCTAGAAACTAAATGACTTTCTTTAAATAGTTCTTTTTAATTATTTTATTTTTGTTTAATGTAAATTACGATGTAAAATCTAAAACAAAACGAATACATTTCATTTCAAATTTAATAAACAGAAATTTAAATGTTTCAACAGAAAAATATAAGAAAAAACAAAGTCTTTTTTTGTGTAATCTAATTATTCGATAGCCATATTGCCATATATAACTATGAAACCTTCACGAGAGCTTAGATGGATTTTTTTTCTAGATGTCAGACATTTATATTTTATCCATTAATTATTCTGGCGATTACTTTGTCATCAGCTGACTTATAGCTATAATGAATTACTTCAATAGATCGAAAAGAGTTGCGGCTAACTTTTCTTGCTGTTTTTATTTTAATTATCTTGAGTATAAAATCTTTCAAATTCCTTTTTTTCCTAAATTATTTTTAATACAACAACTTATGCTAATGAAGAATGGAAAACGAATTTCTATGATTTGTTCTCGATTCTTTCATTTCGCGTTTCAATGGATTTTCTGATTTTCCGTTCTTGAGATCATCGCGACACAAAATAACTACTTTTGATGCATACGTAAGAAAAGTAAGAAAAAAGAAAACTCGCGAAAGACTACATAAATGCTCTGCTTCGCACCGCATTAAAAACTCGCAAAGGACTACATGAATACTGCGCTTCGCACCGCATTAAAAAGCTTGTTTCATTAGATGTAACTATCTTCAAATCAGATATAATTCGATAGGAACATATCGACGCCGCTTATAAAACGATTAGTACTAAAAGAAAAACTCTTCATGTCTTGTTTACAGTTATTTTATTAATTGAATTACAATAGATTCAATAATACGTAAGAAGTAATGGATCTAAATTCATTCGGTCATGTTACAATAATAAAAGCATTTTTATGATTACTTTTTAGTAAAAAAGATTAATGTGCTGTTAATATTTAATAGCTAATTATTTAATTCGATCAAACGTAACTTCTAATTATTGTACAAAATCTATTCTTGAATCATTTTCAGTTCGTCTTCGTTATGAAATGGCTGCATGGCGTTTACATGTTAGTTTTATTGAAACAACTTTATCTGGCATATGTAAACAAATTCAAGCATAATCCGATTGAATTCAAAGAAAAAAAAAGCGATAGATTTATTATTAAATATGAAATTATTTTTATGAAACGCGTATTTAAAAGGAAAAATTTTTTGAACCCTCCATTCCACAGATTATTACAGGCGTGAACACAAGATATGTATTATGTATTTTTACAAAAAACTCATAAATTGATCAATACACTTCAAAGCTCTATGATAATATTATTTCTAATTTTGCTAGATCAATGGAATAGAATATGAAGTATTTACATGATTTAATCAAACTAATTTGTTAAACAAGTCTTTCTATTAGTAAAAGCAGTTATTTTCAGTTAGACATTTTAATCTCATAAAGATTATACAAATAGCTTGTTTTTAATGAAACATAATTTTTAATAGAAGTGAAATTCAATGTATACAAAGCTTCATATAATAAAAAAGACAATATCAACTAACAAAATAGCTTTTATAAAGAAAAATTTTCTATGTTTCATCATAAATCAAAACATTCATGACGATTTTTCTGAAATATTTTCACTTACAAGAGCTGTATTTCTATCATATTGATAGGTTTTTTGTTGTTGTTCTTAACCATTACGACATAGTCAAAGATTATTGAATTTCATTTTTTTCACTTTTTAATATCTATTTCTCGTTAATGGCAAAAGCAAGTTCTTTGAAACTTTTATTCTAGACAGAGACCATTGAAATATACTATCAGTAAAAGTTTCATTGATTTTCCTTTAGCTCAAGCTAAGCTATTTAGATAATACTGACCGTTATAGAATTTCAAAAAAGAGAATTTATTTTTTGGCAGAGCTGAGAGTATAATATTTTACTAGAAAACGAAATGACATAAAAATAAACTTTGGGAAATATACTTACCGTTCCGAAATGGAAAATTCATGAAATTCAAAGAAATCAAGTGAGATTCAGTGTTTGAGGCACTTGCATTATAGCTGCATGCGCCAGTCTATGTAATCCCGTCAGTGGAATAGTGTGTGCCATGTTTTCAACCCGAACACTGTCATGAGATAGTTTTCTTCGCCCTGACAGGATAAAGAACTCTTCTGCATCCGGCCTATAGGATGATCGATTCATTGCTTTTTTTTAATAAGGATATTAAACTTGTTTGTATATGAAGTACTATGTCACATATCATAGACTCTTTATTGATACAAAAATCACATTAATAAATTTTATCATATGTTTTCTAGTAGAAATGAAATGAAAAATCGAAAAGATACTTAATATCCATAAAGTGAGCAAAAACAATAATAAGATAAACATAAAGACGCAGAATTCAAAATGTAATTCATATAAACAGATAGACAATTAGAAAGAACAAGTTTTCTTTTTCTTGAATTTTTCATAAGACCAAATATTATCCTTTAGATTCTGTATCCTAAAAAAAGATTGTTTTGTTCCTACAAGTGCTGAACCAATGTAAGGTACAATAGGTTATCTGCAGAGCACGTCCCGTAAATTGCACTGTATGCATCCTGTGACATTCTCTGTTTCAAGTCTCTCATTATAGTGCCTTGAATTCCTCAAATTCTACTTTAATTTCTAGATGATGGGTACTGCTGTTTGTGCGAAAGTCATATATTAAAAGAGTACTTCGTGATCGATAAAGAATTTTTTTTCTGTTGATCGATCTTTGTTTGATGATATATTCCGCTAGCATTGTTTACATAAATTTTCGAATTGTTCACTTTTACATATCGAGAATGCGCAATATTGTTCGCGAATAGAAACACTTTCATTCCAAATACTATCGATTATTGTCTTTTCCATGATAAACTCGGCTTTCTTCACTTTTAAATTCCAACCTTCGCCATGTATGAGTGACCGATGGCTGATCATGTCGATTATTTCTGATAATCAGTCGAATATATTATATTTATTTCATACTTTTATTATGGTGTCATCATAAATATAATTCATTGATATAAAATTCTCTTTTACATTTGTTTCAATTAAATCCTCGATTTAACAATGCAAATAAGACAATATATACTTTTTTTTTTCTTTTACATTTGAACATCTTCGTCATTTGTTAGAGGATTTATAAATATACATTGTCGTCTCCAATTAGGCGCATCTCCTCGTCTCTTTTTTTCTATTCTTCTTCGTTACGTTCTCATCATTTCTTCTATTCAATCAATTTGATTGAATAAATAGAGACGACTACATGTTAGTGATGTAATACTTATAGATAGAAGAATGAGGGATTAAAGATGAATATACAATTTTTCATCGATGATCGGATCAATTTCAGTCAGATATTATGATGAGTTCATCATCGGCAACAAACTCTTCTCTATCATCATTTTCTGATGAATGTGAAACATTTTTACCAGAACCACCACCACCACCACCACCGCCTCCAATTCCTTCAGCAAATATGTAAGTCTTCGAATACATATAACATATAAATTGGATATTTATAAATTATTCAAATTTAGAAAAATCAATGAATGTATTGGTGGAAAGAAACTTGTACATAAAATTGAGCCTATATTTAATAATGACACAACTAAAATGCGTATATTTCTTGAAGATGGATCTCTTACGGAATATTCAATTGGAGATTTAACAACAGCAGAAGTAAGACAATAATCTTGATAAGAAAAAAAAAGAAAACAAACAAACATTTTTTTCAATATCCAGGAATTAATAGAAGAAGTAGCTTTTCGTCATAGTCTTGGTTCAGATATTCGTCGATATCGATTAACATTAAATGAAGCACGTGATACTTCTTGGCGATCAATTCGATATATTCGACCACAACAAAAATTAAAAGAAGTAAACACAATTGAGATAATTATTTTTTCTCATTAAAATATACTTTATTTATAAAAGGTATCACAATGGCCATGTACAACCGAAACAACAATTTGTACATTGCGTGTTGTTATTGTTCCTTATCAAGCTGAAATATTAGCTGATACAGAACCAATTACATTTACTTATTTATATAGACAAGTGAAATTAAATAATAAAATTTTTTCTATTATTTTATATTTGCTTGTTTTTTTGTAAAGAGTATCAATGATTATGTTCGAGAACGTGCTGGAAGTGAAATAAGTATAGATACTGCTGTACAATTAACAGCACTTCTTATTCTTGATGAATCATTATGTACTGGTGTTCGAGTAAATACTCTTGTCAAGTATGTTTTTTGTTTTTTGTTGAATTAATTTATTTTAAAATAAGATTCAAAAGATAGACGATCATGGTTATTAAGACAATTATTACCACGTACATTACTTGATCAATTTTCTTTAAAACAATTAATAAATCGTGTACGAGCACATCTTCATGATAATAATGATATGACTCAATTGAATGTTGCTAAACAATTTATACGTATATTTTCGGAAAATACTCGATCATTTGGTGGAAAATTATTTCCTGTTAAATTCCCGGTGAATAATTTTTTTTTTCAAATTTATTGTTATTGTCTTTTTGCTATTAGGATAAACATCGAGATTCAATTTTACTTGTTGGAGCTCGATATCCAATAGGTATTCTTGATCAAGCAAGACGAATTAATTCACCTGTATGTAAAAAAAAAAACAAATTTTAATAAAATTTTCTTTGTAAACAAAAAAGTTTTAGTAATTTGTCTGTTGATCTATGAACTATTATATTGACAGTCAATGTATGTTTGTGAAGCAAAATAGTGATATTTGTAGATGTAATACAATAGACATGAGAAGAGAAAAGCAAGAATCTTAATCTCTCGTAATAAATCCTTTATAAGCTTTAGGAAAAAGACTAATCCATATTTATGGATAAAGACTCGTTGTATTTGACAAAATTATTAGAAAAAAAAGACTTCTATAATGCTTATCTCATTACTTTCAAATATGTCGATCGATAAATTGGCATTGGAATTAGATTTTTCTGAAACTTTCAAGTCTAGAATGGTTTGATTTTTTTCGGTCTTCGTTCTTGAGATATCGAAATTTTACTGATTTTCTTATCGCCTATCCTGAAGTATTCAATATTCGAAATTCTCTTATGTGTATAAGCAAATTTTGTTCGTATATTTACATCTTCAGAAAGGAAATACTAGAAAAAGTAAAAACTTATCCAATGAATCAGTTTTATTGAGAACTTTGTTTGAAGTCGGAACTTGAAAGTTGATTTTCCACATGACCTGAATAGGGACGAAAAACATAGTAAAATTTCGATATCTCAAGAACGAAGACTCAGAAAACCAAACAATTCTAGACTTTCATATTACTCATCAAATGAACATCGTCTCGTTCGGAAAGCGATTTGACACTGCGAGAAGTTCTTTCGTCAGAGTCAAATATCTCTAATTTCAGAACAAGAAACCATAAACACAAACGACTACTTACGAAGTAAGTCTATCGTTACTGAAGAAAACAAACTATGAAATAATGAAGACGATATCAATATAAAATAGATTTAAACAAAGAAAAATATTTCTTCTATCAATTCGAACGTATCTTTCATTTTATACTTTGTCTATAGTCTAACAAATAATTAAGGAAAATAGGATTATAAATCAATTTTTTTGTCATAATAAACTACTCCCCTAAATTGGATAAAATTTTCTGTCTCATCTCTCATATTCATAGATCTTAAAACACAGTCACTTTTGACTACAGAGCGGGATATATATAGGCTTGTAAATGAAGACTTTCTCTATCCAATGATGCATGTATTATCAAATTCTATTGCATACCGTTGGGACATGTCAATAGACGACATTACCTTGGCCACGACTACTGCAGAATGTGGCACCATCGATCGATATATCAACAGTTCGTAATAGATGTTGATAATGCATACACCATCTAATAGAAGAAGTCTTACTCTACAAGTCTACATATATCCTGTTTTGTAGTCAAAACTTTATAGTCAATTTTCTTTCGAATAAATATTGTTCAAATGTTTTTTCTTCGATACAAAAATTAATGTTGTAGGTTATGACACTTGTCTCTACTTGGTCTCATTTATCTCGTGTTACTGTTAAACAATATCGAAATGGTGTAGCTATTCGTTTATTAACAACACCTCGAACAACAATAGCCGATGATTCATCTATCCTACAACAAGAAATTGCTTTTTTAATTCATACAAATTTACTTAATGATTTTATGGCATTTATTGAAGGTTATTCACAATTAGAATCATTAAATTTTCCATTATCTATTGAACGTATATCACATAAAAGTAAATCACCATCATCTAGTACAAATAAATCTAAACTAACAAGTTCATCAAATGAATATCAAAGTGAATCATTTCGTCGATCACCACTTCTACAGCATATATTAAATAATAGAAAAAATCATCGTAAATATACATTAACACAAGGAAAACATATTTCACCATCAACTAGTCCATCATTATTTGAATTAACACGACAATTTTTTACACGAAATCCTACAAAAACTATTGATATTGACGAACGAGAAACAGTTTCAAATGTACCAAATCGTACAACACTTGTTACATGGCGTTCAATAGCTGATAGTCAAACATCAACAACAACAGCAACAACCACAACAACAACCACACCACCACCTCCACCTGTTCTCTATCGAACTGTTATTAATGTTAAACATTCAGGTAGATATTTATTAATCAATGATTAAATATCTATGTCAATATGTTTATTCATACATTTTCTTTTTTCTTTCATTTCATATCGTATTTAAAGAACAAATGATATCTATTAGTGATGATGATGGCGAACCTGATGTAATCGGTATGTACATTTTTTGTGCTCTAGAATATTCTTCATTCAATCTCGATACTTCCTAGTTATAAATAAAGTTTATCTAATATCAAACGAGAAACGTTCTCAAAGTGATAAATTGCTTTTTGAGTCAAGGCCATGTGTATCATGTAGACCTAAATGAGTTATGAATATTCTGAAAAGAATTCATACTTTTAGCTTAACGTTTACAGTATTTTCTAAATGAATGCCATAGACCGGAAAAATTGATTTTGAAATTTCGATTTGAAAATTTGCCCAAGCTTTAATGAGAATAGTTTTTCGTGAATTTTTTCAGATTTTATCATAGTTCCTATCTTAAGATACAATTACGATAATATTCATGTCTTTTACATCGATCATATATAACGATAGATTCGATGTTCTTATTTTACGATAGAAGCAAATCAAAAGACTTGAAATCTTCACAATAAGCTACTGTCGTTAAAGCCTGTCTCTGTACAAAGTCTCAAGTCGAAATTCAGTTGGCTTGAATCACAACATTTATTTAAAAAATATCATATTTAAAAACAATTTATCAGTTGAAAGACTTTCCTTATAAGATGTTCGATTTCATACAGTTACTATTCTAATTTTTTAAATTAAAAACAAAAAAAATCTTCTCCTTCATACTAATATTTTCTCTTTTTTTGTCTACATATTAGATTTAACAACATCGCATGGTTACTATGGAACTATTAGTTTTCCTATTCGACCACCATCACCATTTGCTGATGGTCTTATTTGGTCAGATATGTCAAATCAATGTAAGAATGAAGATGAAGATACCGATGGTGTTGTTATATGGTCACCATCAACAAAACAATTAACTGTTCATTATAATAGAAATAATAATAATAATAATAATAATAATAATATAATTCCTTATTCACCGACATCATCGCGTACAGATAGTACATGGAAACGAACATTAGATCGAATTCTTAAACGAACAAAAGCAGAAAAAGGTTTTTTTTTCTATTTTTAATATTAATATGAAAATCAGTCTTTTTTTTTTCTTCAGACATTCCACAGATAACAACATGTCCATATGATTTTGGTAATGGTGAAGATTTAATAACAACAGATCAAAATAGTAAACATGTTCATTGGATTGATAATAATGAAATTATATTAAATGCATGTCGTCGTTTTGTTGAACATTTAAAAATATTTGTACAAAATGTAATTAATGGTCAAAATGAAGAAATTTATTTAAAAAATTGTCAAATATCTTTAAATGAACTTAATTCATTAATTGATTGTTCAGAATTAAAACAAGCATTTGAAGATACAATTGAATTAGCAAATAAATATGACAAAAATCAATTACTTCAACAACAAACATTTATTGCACATTTAATCTCTCGTACTATTCTTTCTTCTTGATTATATTGATAATAAACAAACAAAAACAAAAAAAAAAAAGAAATATATCTATGTATATAGGTTATTCTGAAAAAAAATGTTCTTTTTTCTCTTCTTCAGAGAGAGCGAACAAGGTCATCAAAAGGTCATTGTAATTCTGTATCGGTCATCAGTTTGTATTTCACTATTGAGTAGAAAGAAAAAAAAAGATGGATAGACAATGGCATATTCGACAACAACTTGAACTTTTGTCTTCACCTACATCGATTCAATATAATAGAATTGAAAAATATTCATCCGTTGTTGAAGGTATTCGACGTGTAAGACGGATTTTAGCCGGTGATAATCAAGAAGGTTTGTTTGTTAAGATTTGAAAGAAAAAAAAAAGTCGAGTATGTATTTTTTGTTTTTGTTTTAGAGAGTGAAAAATTAATTCGAGCATGTTGTCAAAATGATATTGATACAGTAAAATGGTTATTTGAAAATATTGATATTGATTCAATTAATTTAAAAAAAGGTATTAATAGATCACCATTACATGAAGCTGTTTTACATCGTGATGGTCGATCACTTGTACGTCTTTTATGTCAATATGGGGCTGATCCTAAACAACGTGATTCATTAGGTTAGTTTAATTTTAAATAAAAATTTAGTAAATTATTCTTTAAAATTTATTTAGGTCGTACTCCAATTCATTATGCAGCTAGTTATGGTCATATAGATATAATGATTGATCTTATTAATTTCTCACGAATTTCAATATCAACATTAGTTGATGTGGAAGGTCGTTGTTCATTAATGTATGCTTGTGGTGAAGGTCATTTATCAGTATGTCAATGGTTAGTTGAACATGGTAATGGTGATTATTATCGACAAGATGATCGAGGTCGTTCATGTCTTGTTTATGCATGTCGAGCTGGTCATATTGAAATTGTTCAATGGTTACTTTCAATATTATCTCCAGAATCAACACATACAGGTTGGCATCCACTTCATTTTGCTTGTTCAACTGGACATTTAAATATAGTTAAAATTCTTTTACAATATAATCAACGTATTGGAAATGTTGTAACTAATACTGGTCATTCAGCATTATTTATGGCAATGCATTCAGCTACAAATAGTATTGAAATGGTTAAATGTTTACTCGATTCACATTCATCAGTTCAATTAACATCACAAGATATTCAAGATTTAAATTGTAATAAATCATTAATTCTTTTACTTGCTCAACGTCGTCATTCACTTGTTTATTTATTACAACTTATTGAAAAAACAAATTATTCATTATCGCTTATTCGTCTTCTCTTACTAAGTGAACATATTTATTGTACACAAGATTTACTTTCTATTCCTTATCATCAATCATTAATTCGTTATCATCTTCAAAATTCATTAAAACTTAAACAAATTACACGTTGTTTAATAAGAAAATCAATTGATACAAGTAATAAAATCGATCTACTAGAAATCAATGGAATTTTAAAAAAGTTTATTCGTTTTGAATATTTATAATAAATTATTTGTCAATAAATAAATTGCATTGTAATTGAGCTAATAATATACTTTGAAGATTTGGATCAAGATTTGTAATTTTATTTGCTATTTCATCACATGCACCTGGCATACGTTCATGAAAAAATGCATTTAATTCATCTTTAGCTGTTGCTGGTGAATGAGTTATACGAAGACCAGTAGCAGCAGCATCTAATAATAATGGATAATCATCCATATAAACTGTTTTTATACCCCATTCATAATCAAGGCGTGCTTTTGCTGATTGACATCGAGCAAGAAGACCAACAAAAGATGTTGGAACTTGAACAAGATAT